TCATGGCCTTGTCGAGCATGACAAGCTGCTCCTTGTTCAAATCCCTCATTTGAATTAAATGTTGTATCTAGAATTTAGGGGTTTAGGGTTTAGACTTTACTATCGACTGCTTGTGTCAGCAACCCCAGTCCTTGTTGGGAAGCTTTGCTTGCTTCAGCCTCTGGAGAGTCTGTGTCTTCTGTTTTTTTGCATCAGGCTCCGCAGCCTCACTCTGTTGGAAGAATCTGGCAGTGTGATTCTTGTACTCCTGCTGATAGGCTTTCAGCATCTCCATGTCACCGTCGACAGCAGGGCCACCATGAAAGTCTTTAGACACCTGGCTTGCACGCTTCAGGGGGCCGTAGGGCCCTAGGATTTACTTTACAGCTCTGTTGTGGCCTTGGGGCTTCAGGGCTTCCAAGGTTCGAGGGCTTTATGCTGATGTTAATATTTTTGGCGCGAGGGTCTGGGGGTGTTCGTGGTTGCAAGCGTTGGGGCTTTGGAGCTCACAAGCCTAAAACCCTGATATGGGCTTGGCGAAACTAGGATGGAACTCATGTTTTACCTTTCCCTGCAATGAAAATGAAAAGCATTGACAGACAGGGCACCATTGGCGGCAACCAGGCTGCTAGATCACAGTCAGCGTTCCACGCAGCATAGACCGTTGTTTCCTCAGCCGGTTGCCCCAGCCTCTTGCCATCGGAACTGATCGAGATGACGGTGGCCTGGGCAGGGTCATATTTACCATAACTCTTTCATCCCTCACGTGTCTCTAGTCGCCCTCCAGGGAATTAAAAAGAGCTCAGCCAAAATGTGTTCATACATGCGGCAAGTCACATCAGAAAGTTGTTCGTGACAGCATGCCATGTAGGCTTGAAGATCCTCATTCTGCCAGCGTATAGCTGCCCCTTGGCAGCTTTTTTGCTTCTTCTTGTTCGTCGGCTTCCATAACCCAGCCTGGCGCACGCCCTGGCTGGCAGAACGAAATGCTCCTGCTTGCACGCCGTCGGATACGAAATGCCTTTTCAGATCTTCATCAAGTCGCAGGCGCTTCTTTATGCCCCAGAGCTTCAGGCATTTGCCTCGGCATGAAAATGTCACACTCGGCACATGTCTGATGAAATCTTGCGGCCTGCAACATTCAAGCCCAAGAAACACCCCACTCAGTCCAAGCCAAGCTACTCATGTCAGCAGGTGGCAGGGCAGCTGTTGCACGAGCCAGCATGTCAGCCAAACTCCTCAGCATATGAACGTGGACCACGTTCACGGCGCTGCAGCTGAGGCCTGCTTTCTTGGACTCCACGAGACACCAGCCCCAGGAACTGCAGGACTCCATCTCAGTCTTCAGGCCGTCCATGCAAAGGCACCGTGGCTCATTGCGACAGCCGCGTGTTGTTGCCAAGAACTCCTCAGGCTCTCGGACAGCCTCCGAAGGGAGCAGTGCTGCCACCAACGCATTCAGGAAGGCCTGCGAGTGGTCGCGGTCCTTCTTCCTTTTGCGGTACAAGGCACAATCAGTCAGAAGTGCCAGTGCTGCGATTGTGGTCAGGCCGTCTTCCTCATGCGTGTCGACAGACACAGGCTTTCCCCTTCGCTCCAGCGAATGCCTGTTGGGATAGAAAGCCTCAGACACTGACACCCCATAGCTCCGCCACAGGACTTCCCACTCAGCCTTGTGCCGGTACACGACCTTTCTCAGGTCTAACTTGGTGCGCTCAGGAGTCAGCACACTGTACAGTCGGCGAAACTCCCAAATGACCTTCTCGGACACCCATGCTTTCAGCTCCACTGCGTTCGGTTTCTCAGAACCAAACTTCCAGGTGCCTGTGCCCAGCCCAGTCAGATGTACGAGCACAGTCTTGGAAGATTGTGGACTTGCCATGGCTGGGCATTGTCAGACTCGATCTATCTGTAGTCCTCTTGCACAACCGTACTACTCTGTCTCTCTGCAAGACGTGAAGTTATTGGAAACATCCGGCTGCCGACTTGCGAAGGTCACTGGCTTCCAGGACAAATGACATTGAATGTCTTCCCACATCCGTTTGGACTGCTTCTCAGACTGTCAGTCTAACAACCTGAATCAGCACTCTTGATTTCAGAATCCGGCGACAGACTGTATTACTGTATAAGCAAAGTAAAGGATACAAGCACATGCGACTCCACAGCTGTCGTGTACGGATTCTAATTCTAACTAACAAACACGCTAGAAGATGCTAGAAAGCACAGGCGGAACGACGCACAGCCTTGTCATCAGAAGCACCAGCATCCTCCGGATCAGCACAGACCTTAGTTCAANNAGCATCAACCCATCGGCGACCAACCCCCGAATCCCACGAGATCCCAGCCAAGTCATACGGGGTTGTAGTCGAAGCGGCGACCTGGTCTAAAGGGTCCAGAAGCGCAGACGGCAGGAGAGACCCAAGGTTCAGGCCACCGATGTTGTCAAACCAAGCATCCAGCGACCATGGCATCACGACCAGCAGATGAGACCTCAGGGGCAAGGGAGGAAATTGATGGGGTCAGGCAGAAGGGTTAGAAAGCAGGCACCAGGAGAACACTACGAGGCAGACCAAACTGAGCATCGAGCGGCCACAGCATCACCAGCAAATGAGACCTGAGGGTTAAGGGAGTGCATGCCCGACAGACTGCCACGACGGCAGCTCCTCCACACGGTTCAGGCCGCCGAGACCTCATCACGCAAGTGGGCAGGCAGGGAAGGCAGGGTATCTTGGCAGGATATGTAAGTAGAAGGCATGAGGAACCCAAGGCAGAGGATCCTGACGGATGCACCTGAACTGAACCAAANNACCTGTACGCTCAGGCAACAGCTGCAGGAAGAAGCAGAAGGAGTCCTTCCCAAAAGCAGTTCTGGCTCTGTGCACGAAATTTTAAAGAAACTGGCAAAGTTGTGCAGTGAACTGGACTCTTTTTTTGGCCGCCTCAGGGGTCGGAGTGAAGGCGCAGTCAGTGCCGTAGACTGATCTCCGTGTCTGGCCATTGACTGACTGAGACTGAGAGTAGCATTTAACCAACATAGTCGAAGTTTGTCAGACTCGGCTTAAAGGCTTACTTAATGGAAGCTGTCCTTGTGGCCAGTGCTCAGGGGATCAGGGGATCAGTAGAAACAAAAATGAGGTCGTCACAGGGGACCCATGCACTTCACATAATAATAAAGGCGATTTCTGTAGATGTCTCATAACCACATAAATGCTGTCAGACGACCTCTACTCAGGCCGGGAAAGGCAGACTTCATCCTGTCTGAGTCAGTCGTGCTTATGCAAGTACTTACAAATTTATTTATGATTCTGCCATGAATCAGTCTGATTGGAGAATCCCCCCGGCTACCGGCACTCATAGTACCTCCACCCACTGGGGCCATTGATCCACCGCCCGCGTGGCGCCCCTGCCGGAGGCGGGGGTGGAGGGTCAGCTTTGGAGGCTGGAAGCGGAGGCGGCGGCTCAGCCACCCAAATTTGCCCCAGTTGGTGACTCCAAACGTGAAACGGCCGTGGATGATTGCTCAGCCACCAAAGTAGCTGGCACTCCTGGTACGTTATGTGGTACCATAGGGCCTTGGATGATCATCGGAGTCTATCATCGGAATCAATCGAAAATCTGGCATCCACTCAGTCTGTTAAATCATAGACAAGTCACCTCTCTCAGCTCCTGCTTGTGGACGTCGTTCTCAGGCTTTGGGCATGCCCAGCGCGTCATCCCGAAGCGTTCCGCGGCGTCCTGCCGGCAAGCAGGAGAGAATCAGGTCATGACTGTTCACAGTGAAGCTAGAACGAACGCAACATCGGCCTTCACGTTGTCTCTCAGGGATACGAGCAGAGTGCACCGCTTCGTGTACAGCGCAAGTAGTGCCTGGGTGGGACCGGGATGCAACCACACTCGTCACCGGCTTGTGTGCTCTTGGAGCCCTGCCTCGAAAGACATCTGTTTCAGCCTCGACTCGATCTCCTTCTCCCGAGCCTCCACCGCCGTCTCCTGCAAAAGGACAATGCAAACAACCTTCTGAGCTCTGAGTCTGTCTCCCTGTCCTTCTTCTCAGACTTCTTGACTTCCTTCTCAGTCTCCTTTTTCTCCTTCTTTTTCTTTTTCTTCTCCTTCTTTTTATCATCCTTCCTATCCTTCTTTTTCTTCTTCTGCTTCGAGCCCCCCTTGGGCCAGGACATGCCCTTTCCTTTGCCCTTTCCCTTCTCCTCACCCTTGCCCTGTCTCTGTGACCCAGTCTGAGTCTCAGCCTGGCCAGGCAGCATAGATTTTCAGGAACAATGCCAATGCTCGAGCCAATGTGTCAAAACAACCAGCCTCGTTCACGATGGGCTTGCTGCTCGCGGAGGGCTCGGCCTTCTTGGAAGTCTCAGTCTCCTCCTGGCCGGGTTCATGATAAGGCTAAGGCCACATGAATGCTCACGCAAGTCCAGCCTTCGAGCTCGCCTTCGCGAGCTTCTTCGGAGGGACCTGGCCGAGTTAAGTTATGAAGCTAAGTCCTAATGGCAGCTCTCACGAAATACAAAAAATCCCGCCTCACTCTTCTCTTTCGCATCAGGCTTCAAAGAAGGAGCCTTCTTATTCTTCTCCTGGCACAGAGATTCATGATTAGGCTATAAGGATGACAAAGGTTGTGTGAATGATGTCCTGCCTCGGCCTCAGGCTTGTCCTTTTCCAGGGCATCCTGGCCGGGTTTAATTATTCGCACCCTAGAGAGAGATTTTCACCCTAAACTCCAAACGACCCGCCTGTCTCCGCTTCTTTGCTCGCTGTCTTGGATTCAGCTTCTTCCGAGGCCTCACACAAGTGATGAGGCCAAGAGTTAGCTTAGACTCACAGACAAAGCATTACCAACCGGCCTGCGAGACTTCTCAGACTCAGTCGAAGACGATGAAGACGAGGTCGTGGACGACGTCATTTCAGGCAGTGGCAGGAGACATGAAAAGGGGCACAGGCTAAATGTGCAGGTGAATGTGCAGGTGTCTGTGTCCCGTCTAATTTATAAGGCTCAAAGCTCTGTGACTGTGAAGGCCGGGTGGGGATATCACGTGATATGTGGGAGCTAGGGTTAAGGGGACCCTTGGAGATAGAGACCCTCTCAATAAGGTCTCTTTGTAAAAGGGCCAGAGGTAACAGGTAGTGTTAAGAAGGGTCCCCTTTTAAGGGTCTCCCTACTAACTACTACCTAGGAATATGCTAACTTGTTATTGTCATCATGGCATGAGGCCAGGCGGCCAATCAATCAATGAGACGACATGTCTGATCAAAAAAGTTGCAGCATGCACAGCGAGCACATTCAGGCATGCACGCATGCTTCCCACAAAGAGGCGAACGGCAGGGAGCAGTCCTCGAAGCTGAGATGGAGCCCCATGATGCCACCACAGTCGCCTCCAGCCTCGGACCGAAAGCAAAGGCACAAATCCCGAACCCGACAAGGGGTTTCGACTCACACACTCGCACAAGGCAGGCATGGCAATGAGGATCCGAGCTTGCTACTTGAACATGCTGGGCGAAGCGAGCAGAGAGCACGACAACACAGGCAGTAGAACAAAGTAGTAGAGGCGTAGGCGCCTAACATGAGTATCCGAAGAGCTCTCAATGCCCCCGCCACAGCAGTTCATACGGTTCGAAGAGCAGCTCGTTCGCTGCTTCTGTTTCAAACCATCTGCAATTTTTCTGGCAACGGTGCGTGGAAGCACGGGACAGGTTTGAGTAGGGAGAAGCTGCGGGCTCCTGTAAATGTCAGGTCCGGTTCAACTTCTCCTCTCACACGGATTCCACGCCCAGCCCACCAACGGGGCCATGCAGGCTATACAAAGCAGCCCGTCCTCCCGTCTTTGCTGTGCAAACATGAGCATGCAACAAAAAAAGCTGAATTCCTAAGCTGCATTTGCAATGGGCAAACGATTCAGGACGGGATGGGTGCTGCAAGAGCTTCATGCGTACGTGGCAAAACCACGTCACCACCAAAAATTTCGGCATCGCGAAGCAAGCGCAAGCTCCAACTTGACGATGACCTCTAGACTCTACACGATGTATACGTGTTTACCATCCATCCATCCAAAGGG